CACCCAAACAGTAGCACTTTTTAAGTGAGAATTCAGGTGCAGATGGAATTAATGGAAATTGAGACCACTCTCTTCCACCCCCAAAATGAATCTGCCTTTAAGGAACAGTTTTTTAAGGGACAACAAATGTACCAGCAGCTCCCAAAGTCCTGGAAATGCAAAACCTTCGGGTGAGCAGTGAGGATTCAAGAGATGAGGCTTGGGAATTACTTTTAAGAGTTACCAAGAGAAGCTGCTTGAAGCATCCACCACAAAAGGCACATTAACACAGAAACTACTCCAACGTGAAAGACTGTCATCGCTGAAATATTTACTGCAACTCCGAGTGGCAAATTCCCCTGACTCATTATGTTTCTCCCAGATCCCGAATTTCCATACTCCGGCTCAGGAATTAATGCAAGTTATTTGAATGCAGACAACGCAGGCAAAGCGTCGTGGGCTCTGTAGAGTTGTTGACTCACGCTCCCGCCTGTGCTCCCTGCCCGAGGAACGATTTCAGCAAAGAATTCGCTCTTTTAAAATGGGTCAGCAAGATAAAGGGTTTTCTCACCCCTCAGTCTGAAAAAAAGTTATCTGAAGCCACCAGTTGGAATCAAGACTTACCTCACAGATCGCTTTTTGAATGATGATAAGAAGGAAAAAAAAAAATCCCTTTTAATCCAAAAACTCCGTGTTTTCCCCCCGCAGACATCAATATCCAGCCCTCACAAGTTCTGCCACCGAGAATAAAATCCAAGAACAACTTTTCTACTTGATCCCCTTCCCTTTGTTTCCATGAACTGCAGCATGTTAGCGCCCTCTGAAAAATCAAAGGATTGCTTTCCCAGGTGATAGGAACGGCTCTTAACCATTTCCTGCCCGCACAAGGGCTCCTCCCAACCTCCGAGCTCTGCAGCTCAAAGAACCAGGCACTGAAAGAAGGGGAAACCCGCGAGTTTTGGCTTGGCTGTCTGTAAGAATTGGTAATGAGCTTCCAAATAACTCCTTGGATGGTGTCTGATCAAATTATTTCAACAGAGTCTCCTGTTCTCCCCATATCAGCTACCTTACAAAGGGAAAGTGCCCAGAGTTGAGCTGTTAAATAAATGTGATTCCCTACCTGTCCTCTTCCTGTGGTGAGAGATGGTGGGACACCAACACCAAACAGAGAACAAGCCTCAAAACCAGGCAGCAACCAAAATTCCAACAGAAAATGATAAGTGAACACCTTTAAGTAAAAAAAAAAGGGATGGCCTCAGCCTGAAGTCATCATGAGAGATCAGGAGCACACTACTTCAAAGTCAAGTAATTTTGCTGTTATTCAGTTTATGAGTGGTTTGGGGCTTTTTTTTCTAGCCTTCCCTTTTATATACAGATTTACAGAAATGAAGTATCTGCCAGGTTATGGAGAACAAGGACAACAGGCCAGCTCTCACTTTATGTCTACTATAAATATTCCAGATTTATACRGAAAATCTTCAAGATTTGTCCCATGTCGATCACTTAACAGCAGGGGAAGAGCACAAAACTTGTTTCTGTGCAGAAACCTCAGTGCCACACCAAGAGGCTGCACTGACAGGCAGCTCCATCCCCAAAATTCCACACAAAGGGACCCCTCAGTACTCGCACCCTGCATTTGGCTGGAAAAGTCGGCTCAAGGGGGAACCTCAGCAATCGTCACAGTGGCCTCAAAAGAGGTTGTGGTGAGGTGGGGTCACTCTCTTCTACAGTGCCTGCAGTGAGGTGRCAAAAAACAGCCTTAAACTGAGATGGGAGGTTCAGATTAGATATTAGAAAAAATGCTTTTTCACTATTTGGGTGGTTAGGTATGGGAATGTGTTACCCAGAGAGGTGGAGGGGTTACCATCTCTGGAGGTGTTTGAGAAATGTCTGGATGTGATTTGGGATTACCAAGGCCCTGCTGGGTGTACACTTGGATTTGATCGAAGAATCACAGAATATTCTGAGTTGAAACAGATCCATCAAGGAACATTAAGTCCAAGTCCTGCCCCTACACATGGCACTTCAAGAATCCCACCACACCTGGGAGCATTGTCCAAATGCTTGAGCTCTCAGCCTTGGTGGTGTAACCACTGCCCTGTGGTGACTGCTCCAGTGCTCAACCACTCTCCAGGTGTCAAAACTGTTGCTTATATCCCCTGACTCAGCTACAGCCATTCCCTGGAGTCCTATCACCAATCACGAGTGAAGTGATCAGCACCKGCCCCTTCTCTTCCCCTCATGAGAATATTGAAGACCCTCAAGTCTCCTCCAGGCTGAACAGATCTGGTAACCTCAGCCACTCCTCTTAAGGCCTCCCTGGAGACCCTTCACCATCCTAAGAAAATTTAAAAGAGATAATAAAAAGATCTTCCCAAGTTTACAACTCCTCACGGCCAAAGAAAAACCCCGACTTCGTCTTACCGCTTCTGAGGGAGGAACAACTGCCGGCCGCCTTTAAATACCCCCGTGAAGCCCCGCCCCCTTATAGCCCCGCCCCCTTATAGCCCCGCCCCTTCCCGCCGCGCGGCGTTTCCGTGCTCGGCACCGCCCGTTCCGGGCCCGTCCCCTCAAGGCCCCTGAGGCGCGGCGGCGGAAGCGGCGGTGAGAAGGGCTGGAGGTTCCCGGGGCTGGGGGCTCTGCTTTGAGGGTTTCCCCGTGCCTGTGCTGCGTCCTGGGTTCTGGATGAACCGTCTGACTGAGCCCCGCTGCCTGCGCGGCCCTGCTGGCGCGGCGGTTGCGGAGCAAGGCCTGGCGCGGGGCGCCGTGGGGAGCCGGGGAGGGGGGGCTGAGGGCTCCCTCTCTGCTGGCATTTCCTGTTTTATCGCTCTTTGCCGTTAACTGCCGCTGCTCGGTGGGTGTTGCCTGTGCTGTACACTTCTGTCTTTGTGGGGTGTTTAGCCCTGGGGTACAGCAGGGCGCCCCACACTGACTCCCTCAGCCCTGAGCGCCCTCAGCTCAGTCAGGGGTGGGAAAAGCACCCCGTGAGTATTTGCTGAAGCGTTTCATCCTCTGGCTGTGTCCCTGTATCCCTAAACTCTTGTTTTGGTGTGTTGCAACATCAAAGCGAGTGTCTTACAAATTGGGTGGATGGAGAATTCACAGGTGTTGGTTGTGCTTAACAACATATCTGAGTGGAAGGGAAAATGGTCATTAATCTCCATCAGTTTGAATATTGATTCAAGTGTTCTATTGATTTTGCCCCTGACTCTTAAAAGAGTGGTACAGAAAGCTCTCCCTAATTAAGCCAAATAAGGTAATGGAATATAATCACTTGTAGGGAAAGAACTCAAAAGCAAATACATGTACTACAGATCAGACAGCTCTTTGATGTGTCATTTATGGCTTGGGAAGCTCATTACCTTTCTTAGGTTTCATCAGCTGAGCTGATAATGAGAGGCACAGAAGCAAACGACTTTGAACAAAAGCTGCAGGCTGCTCCCTGTTTGGGTGCACTCTGGTCATACACGGACCTGATGAACAGGTTTCCAGCCAAAACAGCTGCTGGGGCGTGAGTTAAAATGAATAATTTCCATAGCTACACTTTTCTCTATTGTATTTGTGACAATTGGGGTGATTCAGAGGAGTGTTGTGGGGTAAAGTCTTATTCTCATGCTGTTATGGCCAGTTTTACTGTTGTCTTGAAGTAACTTTTCCTAAAAACAAGCTCATGTTCTTATATCCTGTCTTATATTATCAAACGAGGCTGATGTAGTGTAATACACGGAATTTTGAACTGATCTTCCCATTTTTTCCAATAAAATGACCTAATTAAGCTGTTACTCTAAAATAAGGACAATTTTGTTATTGATCAGAAAGTGGCTATAATTTTTACTTTGTTTCAATAACGCGATCTGGTTTTTTTTGCTGGCAGGCACTGGATGAACATAACTAAACGATGTCTGTCCCACGTGGAGCTGTACATGCAAAATGGATAGTAGGGAAAGTAATTGGGACCAAAATGCAGAAAACTGCCAAAGTGAGAGTGACAAGGCTTGTGCTGGATCCCTACTTGCTCAAGGTAACGCCAGTTAACGATTTTCCTTGTGTGGTAGGTTTTTGTATTGTGTGCAGAAATGCTCTGTTGATTTGACTCTTAGAAGTTTTGATGACTCCTTACAAGTCAAACTCCTTAAGGATTTGGCTGTGGGGGTGACTGCAAAGGATGAAAAGCAGTGAGTGGTGAGGACTTACAAATTACCTGCTAAATGCATTTCTTTGAAGTGCCTTGTTAATGCACTYCATTTGATCTTTTTGAGAAGGTAAGCTTTTGTTGTTTCACACTTAGATTTAATTTTTCATGTCGATGTGGAGCATGCTTTGGAGACTTGACAGTGTATTAGTCACTTTTGCAATAAGTTTTTTAGCTGTTTTTTCTGTATGCATAATTGTAACATTATTTTTTGAATCTCTGTGAGCTTGTATTTTCCCCTTGTCAACACACTTCAAACAGGAAGGTTAAAAATTGTATTTTTTCCMTATTAAATAGGGAAACAGTGGTACATGGAGGTAGAATAAGTTGCCTTTGGTGACCAGAAGGTTAAGGATGGAGTAAAGATTGGGTAATGGAGCCTATTTCAATATTTTATCCAGTAGAACCTTTATTTCTTAACCTAAAGGATTTTGAATTCTGTTGTTCCAATAAGAAAAAACATACTGACTTTTTGTATTAAAAAAAAAAAACCACATTATTTCAGCAAGAAAACTCTCATAGAAAAAAAAGGCTTCGAAATGTAGATTTCAGAGCTTTTTTTTTCCCCATCTCCTTTCTTACAGGCTCAGTTGGCAGCCCCATCCTGCCTTGAGATTATCTGGGAAGGGCAGTGCTGTGCTTTCTGTGGAGAACCTGTAGAGTGCACAGTTGCATTTCYTTTCTCTTCATGATCCAAACTGAATCTCACTTGAAAAGATACATAAGCTTTTACTTAGTGAAATTTATTTATTTATTTGATATTAGCTATATATTTATCCATTGCGTAATTCTGAAATATAATGCWAAGGTTTCTTTTTTGTTTTTGTTGTTCCTTTTACAGTTCTTTAACAAAAGAAAAACCTATTTTGCYCATGACCCACTGCAGCAGTGTGTTGTTGGAGACATTGTTCTTCTGAAAGCTCTGCCCGAGCGAAGGAGCAAACACGTGAAACACGAACTGGCTGAAATTGTGTTCAAGGTTGGCAATGTCATAGATCCAATCACAGGCAAGCCCTGTGCAGGAACCAGATTCCTGGAAAACCTGTCCGATTTGGAAAATCTGACAGAGGCAGATACTACTTATCTAAGTGAGAAACTTCAGGAACTTAAAGTTTGTTCAACAGACAAATAGTGTGGGGGAAGTATTTTAAGCAGAGGGCTTCCAGCTTTTGTTTCTCTCTGTCAGGGATGTTTGAAGCCCTGCTGTGAATGTTCAATGTTTCAGTGAAATTTATAGTTAAAATAAATAGTAAATGTAGTTGCTTATGCAAAGGGATGTKGCAGATTGATGGGCACCTGGAGCTTTGAATGAAAATGCAGAGAAAAAATGCAAGTTTAATGTTCACACTTCATTTTGTTGCCTGTAGTTTTGCCCCAAGCCCTGACAGTTCCCAAAGCCAGCTGCCCTCCTGGAATGACTGCTTTGTGTTAAGACCAGACTACAGCTGTGTGATGTTTGATTTTGGTGGGAGTGACATGACATTATTGGATTGTTCTGTAYTTCAGGCAGTCTTTTGTGGTTTGTAGGGTTACTGGAGTTGATGCTATTAAAGCTTTTGAAAGGAAGTGTAGAATTTTAAAACCAGCTGCATGCTCGTGTCCTTATTTCTTCTTTCAGTGCTTTCTGACTTCCAAAATCTCTAAYAAAAACACAGCCCTTTGCCTTTACAGTGGCAAAAAGGTGAGAATCAAAGCTTTGGGCAGCTTAGWGTGGTTGGCTTTGTAACCTGTCCAAAGGCAGGATTTAGTTCTGGGAGAGCTGAATCGCTTTGAACTGCCAGCAGGGCAGGGGAGCTGATGAGAATACAAAGCCAAAATAGTCAAAGTAAAGGTGATTAGATTTAGTCTCATCAGAAAAGCTAATTAAAATAACAYGTTTTGGGGAGATTGAGGTGCGGATTTGCTGCGTGCTTTAATGTGGAGCTAAAGGCCAGAGCAGTTAATGATGAAAGATGACTTTATCCTGGTACAGCTCTGGGGATCTYATGTCCTCTCCTCCAGGACATAAAGCAAGCTGAGAGCCTGCAGCTGTTGTTCCTGACTTTGGATCTAAAAGGGCATCTGCCTCAAAATTCTGCAGTGTGGGAGGGGAGAGTGGGATAGGAGAGCTGTAAAAAATCCTTTTCCAAAGTGTCTGTTGATCTTTAAGATCCAAAAAAAAAAAACAAGGTGTGTCAGAACAGAGTTCTCTGACCTAAAATATCCTTCTGGCATCAGTAGCTACAAGTTGTGTTCTCTGCTGTTGTCAGAGGGTTATAAATCATTTGCCCTTTAACTTCCTGCTGAAAATCAGGCTGCCCACAAAGTCTGATTGAACTGATTTTAAGAATGAGAAACTTAAAATTCCTTCAGTTCCCCAAAGCAAAAAATGCTGCTCTTTGAATGTTAGTGCTCATACAGGATGTCAAGACACCTCGATTGAAATTTTTTTTTTGTGTAAAATAATGTGGACATGGGCTCTGAGTTTGAGGAAGTGCCTTAAGCATGTGGCTGTAGGGTTTTTCTTGTTGTTTGTGGCGGGGGTTTAGGTTTATGTAAATAACTCAGTAACTGGAGCTGGCTGATCAAAGCCAAGGGAAGGAAAAGCCTGGGCTCTGACTCCTGCCCAGGTGAATGTAAAATGTGAAACTTCATCCAAGCAGAGATTAGGAGAGCTTGGATATGAGGTAGAATTTGGCTGTAGAAAATGCACTGAAGTTGTATCCAAGCAGAACTTGACTCTCAGTATACAGGATTAGAGTGTTCTAATAACTAGATAATTACAAGAAATATAAAAGGTTTAATCTTCGCTTAACAAGTTGAATCTATATTTAATTAGGGAAGAAAGTATTTTCTTTGTATTTCTTGTAATTTCCCTTGAGTAGGTGTCAAAAAGCCGTATTTTTTTCCTAAGATTGATTCATCACAGAAGGTTATCATTTTTCCAGTGTAGGTTCAGGGAGGGTTGCTCAAATACTCACCACGCTGTCAGATCAAAATGTGACTAAAAACAAATTACACTTCAGACTGTGTTATTTCATAGAGTGACAGCAATTGTAGATGAAATTGTTTTGAAGCACAAAGATTGTACTTTAGTGATGTTAAAGCACATCATGTGTGTTATCTTTTGGATGGGTCTCAGAGAGTGCTGACAGAAAAATCATAAAATGGGCAGGGAAAGTTTATAGGGATGTGATAGAATCATTATAGGTGCTATGTGGAGTGATAAGGATTAGTCATTGACCGCTTTCTGTGTTTATTGGCTCGTTGCTTTTAGAACTGCCCTTTAATTGTTACCCTAATTATCACTTTATCCCTAATTTGAATTTATTTAAGGATTCAGTGCCAGCACACACCTCCTCCTCAGCCAAAATACCTCTGATTGTAGTGAGGCAGTGTGAGGAAAACCCTTCAGCTGCCAGCAAGTGAACAGTGTACCAGGAGAACGACAAACCAGGGCTGGGGTGCCCTAAATCCCATGGAATCACTCAAAATTTGGGAGACTGAACTACTGGGGCTGGATTTGCTCAAACTGGGCCCAGGATCCCCCCAAATGGGGTGTTAAGTTCCTCAAAATCGGGGCTTGGGTGTCCCGCTACATCCAAGTGAGTCTCCCCTTAAACCAGGCTGTGGATCCTCCCAAAAGTGGGGCTGGGGGTCCTCAGTCTGGAGTTGGAGTCCCTCAAAATTGGGGCTTGGGTGTCCCGCTACATCCAAGTGAGTCTCCCCTTAAACCAGGCTGTGGATCCTCCCAAAAGTGGGGCTGGGGGTCCTCAGTCTGGAGTTGGAGTCCCTCAAAATTGGGGCTTGGGGATCCCCCTGTTTGCATGTGGATGCCCAAAACTGGGGCTGGGGTCCCCCCAAAGCAGGCTAAATTTGATACCGAGTGTCCCCAAACCGGGGCGGCGTTCCCGAAATCCGATTTGGTCCCCCCAAAAGCGGGGCCGGGGGTCCCGGGGCCATGAGGGGGTCCCGGGGCCGAGGCAGCCGCGCATGCGCAGGCGGCGCTGCCCGCCAGGGGGCGTGGCCGCAGCCCCCGGCCCAGGAGGGAGGCGGCGGGAGCAAGATGGCGGCGCGAGTGCTGCTGCGGCGGAGCCTGGCGGGAGCGCCCTCCGTGCCGCGCCTGCCGCCCGGCGCCGGGCTGGCCCTCAGGTGAGCCCTGAGGGGGCGAGGCGGGCGGGACGGGGCCGCCGGGGGAGGCCGCACGCGGAGCCGGCGCCACCCGAAGCTCCTCCGCGCAGAGCGTCCACTCGCCAGGCTGGAAATGGCGCCCCGCTCGCGGGGCAGCGGCCGGGCCTGGGGCGGGGAGTGCGAGGCGGCGGCGGGGTGTCCCTCAAGGTCACGGGCCGCAAGGCCGGCCCCTTCCTTCCCTCCTCCGAGTCCGCCCCTGGGTGGGAGGATGACCGCGCCGCTGACCCGCCGGAACGGGGTGGCCGCTGGTCCCCGGGCTCGGGGGACACCGACACCTCATCCCGTCACGGACACCTCATCCCCGCACCCTGCATGGACACCCCCGCATGGAACAGGGCRCCCCACAGCCAGGCTTTCGCGGTGCCCAGCCGCCCTGCACACGTGTATTGCCGGGATTTAAATACCTGGATGCTCCGCTCCGCGGGATCCCTCCAGGATCGGGGCGTGCGGCKGCTCCGTGTCCCAACTCCTCCGAGCAACAGGGTGCACAGGCAGCAGCGTCCCGTGTCAGCGTGCACAGCCCAAAATCCCTGTTTTCCCAGGGTCGGGGTGCGTRACTGCACACCCCGACATCTTCCTGTCCTCACCATGCACAGCCACACGTAGAATCCGCTTGGGAGTCAGGGCTGGGCGCTGGGATGAGCATGCACCCCTCTCCCAGTGCCAGGRCACACAGAGAGGCACATCCATCAAGTTTTGGGGTGCAGAGATTTTCATCTCTCTGTGCAGGGATGCTCATGGTGCAGACACACACAGCTCCTGGAGCTGTAGGAAGCAGGCACAGGGGATGGAAACACAGGAATTCCCAAGCTGCAATGGATCTACACAATTTTTCCTCCTTTCCTTTGAAACAGGGAAAGCTGCTGCCTCAAGCTCAGAACAGGCAAGGCACTAAAAGAATCCCTGCAAGCAGCTGTTCAGTTCAGGAATGTGTTGTGAGGTTTTACATGTGTGTTGTGGGGTTGTTTTAGTTTCCAATAAACTTCGTTTAGCCCACAGGTCAAACACTGTCAAACGACAGACAAGTTGTTTTTCTTTCCCTTCCTGGCAGAGGTGGGTTACTACAAAATCTAAATACTAGACTTGGTGTCTCCYGCCCAGTTTATATTTTGTGCTCAAGTAGGAAAGAAGTGCTTTCCCTGAGATTTTTAATCTCATCTAAGCAAACTATTCTGGTGTTGGCCATTTGTGTTTGCAGCCCAACCTTTGTTGCAGAAAGCAAAGCCCAATAATTAAACATTTGTAGGATAAGGACTTGCTGCCAAAGTCAAGTTGATGCTCACAGCTGTTTAAAGGCATGAATTCAGTCCCTGCTGCTCCACAGCTAATTTTGGGTACAGACTGCCCAAGAAATTGAATCAGTGATCAGTTCAGGGCTTCTTGGTTTGTGGGAGTGTGGGATGACAGTGGTGTTTTAGGATATCCATTAAAAATCAAGCCCTTGCCTCTCAGTTTGGGTGCAGTAAACATCTGCTTTAATAAACTTACCTTGTTATTATTCTAACAAGGGTGTATATTTAGTTGTGATTTGTTAGTCAGTGCTCATGAGGAGCTTCACAGCTGCTGGGGAGAAGGTTTTCCATAAATATAAAGTATTACTCATGTCATTGTTTKGAAAATTAGCCATACCTCCAGTTTTAGGTGCAGTTTAACATTCCAGTCATGAGATTCTCCTAAYAGCAAAGAAATTTGCTTTTCAGAGTTATCCCTGTTGCTCCAGCTTACTCTTGCTGTTCCTGGCATTCACCACAAAAAGCATCACAATTTCCTTCATCTTCAAGGTTTGCTGCAAATGATAGAGGAGTTTTCTAAATGTTGCTTTTTCTCTGTTTAATAAGGGAGGGGGAATGGTGAGAGTTTAGAGATTTGAAAAAAAAAAAAATAGTATTACATGGGTTAAGTTCTGTCTGCCACAGTCCTGTTTGCTGTCCAGGGAGTGCTTAATATGAGGGAGATTCTTCAAACAAAACTTGGATTTCTGAGGTGATTTTCAGAGAAATCTCCACCCCAGGCCACTCCAGCAGCAGCCTGATCATGGAATGCCCTTCAAATGCCTGCACTCAGGAATAGCTGCTTGGCTTGCAGCAGAGCCACATGTTTGTGTGAGTGCCCAGGGCYGAGGAAAGCACCATTTTCAATAAATACACCAATGTTTACAGATTATTTCTCAATGCTGAAGGTCATCTCAGCTGCAGTTATTGTTTCTCTGCTGTGAAATACTTTCCCTTTCCTCCATCCTGCTCCCATGGGCAGAACCAGGTCATTATGTTCTTTTCAGATGCTGGGACTAAAAGGTTGATTGTTGGAAAAAAACTGCTTTTGTGTAATACAGGCAGGTATCTCCAGGGGGATATCTTTTTCCAAAGGAAATTGAGATTTTCTTTCCCTATTTTTTTTGTTAATACCTGAAAAAAAGCTTTGGGCTGAAGATCCAGCTGTCTTCTGAATCTCCAAGTCAGTAATTCAGGGTGAAAAGTTGACCTCTGAGGCGGGAAAATGTTTCAATTTTCAGCTTAAAAGTAAATCTATGTGGTATAAATACCACATTTAATATTTTAGTATTTCAGGAGAAGCTTGTGACAGAATGTTTTCTTCAGTGGCTATCATGGAGCTGTCAAAAATCAGCAAATTGAAGGATATAATCTTAGAAGAAGAGAAAACATTTGATCTTGTGAGACATTGTAGAGAATCAGATTCCTTGTCCTGGTCATCTGGAAAAGAAAAATAATTCCTTTAACACATCACTTGATAAATCACAGTTATCACTTGGTTTGTGTTCTCTGATATRAGCAGAGGTGATAGTATTTTGAAAGTGAGAAACTGAATAAAGATTAGATAAGAAAAGACAGTGAAATTCTTCTCTTTTGAGGCAAAGCAAACGTGGATGTTGTACAAACAGCCTGGGTCTGTGTCCCTACATGATACAGTTGTCAGAATTYGGAATTGAAATATTTCCAGGCTGGTTGTTTCCTACCACTCTTCTTTTTTTTTTTCCCAAATTAGTCTTTCATGCTATTTTTCCTCTTGAAAGACATTTCACTTTTCCTTTTGTGGAGCTGTCTTGAAGCAACACAGGAACATATGGCAGTGCCTTTCCCACTTACRCCGCACGCAGTTTTCCTTCCGCACRTTTTTTGCTCTTTTTCACTCCTGGCTATTCACACCCAAGCAGAGCCAGCCCTGGGCATAGATAATGGGTTAAAAAGAGGATAAATAGCAAAAGCAGGTATTGGGCAGGTAATAACCAYGGATAATTCGTGGTTAACTGTATCGAGTGAAATGGTAAATCTGTCTGGGGGATGAACTGCCTTTTCCTTGCTGGGAAGAGACTGGGTGGGAAGTTTAGCACGATGTAACTGTGTTATGATACTGTCATTTGCATCCCAYTGCTGCCTGGTGGGAATTCCAGAGGCTCAGTGCCCTGTCCTTGTTCCTGCAGGGGGCTGGGCTCCTCAGCACACAGAGCCCGTGAGGACAGCTGGTTAAAATCCCTCTTCGTGCGCAAAGTGGATCCCAGGAAAGACGCCCACTCCAACCTCCTGGCCAAAAGAGAGACCAGCAGTCTGTACAAACTGCAGTGTGAGTGATGGCTCCATGCTCAGCAGCACCATTCCTGCCCTCTGTCCCTGCCTGTCTCACCTCCTCTTCTTCTTCTTGCAGTTCACAATGTCAAACCTGAATGTCTAGAGGCCTACAACAAGCTCTGGTAAGTGTGTGAATTTTCTTCTCAYCTTTTACACATTGTTGAATTGATCTGAAAATTGGCAGATGTCATAATTGTGTAGAGGGGAGGTGACAAAATTCTGTTTTTTTAGGATTTGGTATTAAATAGATCCTATGAAAGAGCAGAAAATACTCAGTTCACCCCACTTGCCTCTTGGAGGTGTCATTTCCTAAGCTGCAATTTGGGATGATTCCTGTTGGGTGAATTTGTTGGAACTGCTCTCCCCCTTCCCTTAGTGGCCTTTAAATTACTGATCCATGCAGRGAAAGGTGGAATGTTTTCATTCCCACTGCAGCTGCCAGGTTCAGGATGGCTTTTGTCTGTAAAAAGGAGGAGGAGATACCAGTGGGTAATAAAACTGCAACAGTGTTAAACTCAAGTATAACTTTGAGGAGATGTTCAAAATAATCCCYCCTCAGCTCATTTATATCCCTTTGCACAAATCCTGTTACTGAGCTGCTCTTAAGGAGTCACATAAAGCCATGGATGGGGTCTCTGCATTGGGGTGATTCCCTCCAAAGGGAGCAGCACTGGGACAGCTTTCCCAAAAACTTACACCTTTAGAAGCTGTAGGAATGAATCACATTTTAAAGTGACTGCTTTCAAGGTGAAACTGCAGAAACATTACTCCTTTCCTGCCTACACAATCCCAGCTCTGGAGCCACAGCAGCTGCCCTGAAAGAATTGTGTGTTTGAATTTGGGGATGGAGTGAGCCTYGYACCCAGCAGTGCTCCCTCACTGACAGTGCCCACCTTGCCAGTGAAATAAAACACTCTCAGCACAATGACAGCCTTCTGCAACCAACTTTGAAATGTGAGCACAGCAGCTGGGCTGGAGAGAGGGGAAKCAGTCCCAACTCCCAGTTTGTGTCCCCAGCTGTTACTGGGGGGCTGCACAGCTCGTCTGTCACCTCAGTGCCTTGAGCTGGGTAACCCAGAACTGTTTTCCCTGCTGTACAAGCATAAAAACCCACTCAGATAACATTCAATCAAAGTATTTTTAGCTTTTTTTTTTTTTGTTTTGTTTAAAAAATAGATCCACAGTGAAGGACAATTAACATTCAGCCAGCTCACTGTTTAAAAGCTGAATATCAACATGTCCAATTATGCAAGACAGGGAACCACTTCTGTGCAGTATTTCATGAGCTGCCTGAATGTTGAGTGAGAGCAGAGATTTCTATTTTCCAGGAACGAGACAAACAGCAAAGAAAGAAAGTGCTGACAGCAGTCAGATGAAATATGTGTGGTTGGATTTTGATTCTTCCCAAAGCAAATGGAAGTATTTTAGGGAAGGAGACAGCTTGGATGGAGTAATAAATAAAATGAAGCCTCTCTGAACTCCCTCCTGCCTCTCCCTAAATAAAAAAAAAAAAA